GGGGGGGGCGCCGAGGGGGTCAATGGAGAGTCTGTGCAGGGATCGGAGGAGACGTCAGGAATCCCCGGTTGTCCTGGAATCCTTTGGCTCCACGGTTTGCTTCCACTCTGGTTATTTTTGGCTCCTTGTGATGTTATCTGAGCAACGTCCATAATAACATTTTCTTCCTGACCAGCTCTGAAAGAACAGAGCGTGTTCTCCCGGAGGACGGGCTGCAGCAGCGGGGACTCACCCGCCTGCTCTCCCCTCTTTGTGGTGTCAGGTGCGGCACAAATGGATTCCCAGGAGATGAAAGAGCTGCAGCAAGAAGTGATGGAGGAGCTGGGAATCTCCATGGAGGAGCTCCAGGATATCATCGACAAAGAGCTGGAGAAGTTTGAGTGCGTGAAGCAGAGGAAGCAGCAGCTGGAGGAGCTGGAGAAGTGCGTGAAGCAGAAGGAGGAAGAGGTGGCTCGTGTCGACCGGCTCTTCGATGACGCGTCGAGGTGGGTGCGCTCGGAGCCGCAGCAGAGCTGGGCCTGGGGGCGAGCGGGGGGAGTTGGGGTGGCAGAGTCCCACGTCTCGAGTCCTTCCCGTTTCCCTTCGGCGTGGACTGACGCTGTGATTCCGCATCTGTGTGTGGTTATTGAGGGATAATTAAAATTACTCCTCCGTGGCTTTAAACCCTTCACGTGAACCCTCTTCCCTCACCTCGTGGTGGTTGTTTTGTTGTTTTTAATTAGCAGCTCCCAGCAGTCGGTTCCTATTTATTTCTGCGCTATCGTGGGATGTACAACTGGGCTCACCTTGTCTTTTCCCATCTCTGCCTTTTTTTTTTTATTTTTCTTTTTACCCCCAGAGCCATTAATAAATGCGAGATGTTGGTGAAGGATCTGTACTCCAAGCTGGGCCTCCAGTACCGTGAGAGCAGCTCCGAGGACGAGGACTCGGCCGCCAAGCCCATGGAAGTGATTGAGATCCCAGACGAGGACGACGATGACGTCATGAGCATCGTTTCGAGCTGGAAGCACAGTTCAGTATCTCGTGGTCCCCCACGGTACCGAGGGGAGGGATCGAGATCAGGGCATGTCCTGAAGGAGCTTGGGGATGAGAGGGATCAGAGTAAGGACATTGTGAAGTTGGCCGTAAGCAGGAGAGGGTCAGGTAGGAAACGCCGTCAGCTTGTGAGGGACCTCGCCGCTTGCGTTGTCGGCGTCACTGTCCCGTGGTTCCTGGAGCCCTAAACTGGGACTTTTCCCCTTTCCCCATCTTGCCTGTGGTCCCCAAAAAGTGCTGCCCCTGCGGGGAAGCTCCCGAGCAGCACATTGAGCATCCAGAGAGAGCAAGTTAGGAAAGACCTTGCTTGAGTAGATTTCTTGACAGGGACAGAGAAGGCTTCTTCTGTTCCATTTTCTTTCAGTGACCTAACTAAGATGGATTTTTTTTCCTCCCTAAGATGTTTTAAACCACGTTTTTTTCCTTTAACCACAGGTGATAGCAGTCCCAGAAGCACAAAGGATCAGACTTTGGTGAGTTGGAAAAGACCTGACTGTAGCGTACGTTTACTGGAACTCTTAGGACAACATTGTATTCGTTTTTAAAAAAAAAAAAAAAAAAAAAAAAGAAAAGGTTCTTCATGTTTTCTTTCTCTTTCCTTCCCTTCAGCTGCGGGAAGCCATGGCTGCAATGAGAAAGTCTGCCCAGGATGTCCAGAAATTTATGGATGCTGTGAATAAGAAAACAAATGCCCAGGACACACAAAAAGGTCAGTGTGTGAGAGCGTCCTGCTGCTGAGACACCCGTGTGAGCCCTCACCCTGGTCCTGCTGCCTCCTACGCCTCTTGGTTTTCTTCCTGGAAAAGAAAACAACTATTCTTTTTCCCTGCTGGAAAGATCCAGTAGGATATATCGCTTCCAAATTCCTAATTTTCTTTAAGCCCTTCCCGAAAGCAAATACAAGCAGCGCAGTTTCCAGAACGTGAAAGCTTTTTCCTGATGTTTAAACCTCACCTGCTGCTTATTCTGTCCGGTAAAATCAAGGCACTTGGAATGCCTCCCAGCTCGAGTCCAGCAGATGTTCTTCCAGTTGCCGACCTAGGAGAGGGAGACTTTGGGCAATTTCTGACTTATTTTCTGTTGTTGTTCCTTGGGCAGATGCACAAACCCCTCAGGAAACTCCTGACACTGCCCAGCCCACTGGCCCTGCGGCGCCTGGGAGCGATCTCAGCACTGACGGTGACCTGAACGTCGGCATGAGGATCCTGGGCAAGAAGAGAACCAAGACGTGGCACAAGGGAACCCTAATTGCCATCCAGACGGTCGGTACGTCCCCCCTTGGCCCCGTCACTCGATGCTTGTGGCACTGAGACGCTGGAGACGCTGAGCTTTGGGTGGGATCGGCCTTGGAGCCCGTCCCCTGCCCTGGCGGAGCCCCTCGATGCCACCTGGGATGAGTTGTGAGAGCAGCACGTCCCCGCTGTAATAGTTTACCTTCTAAATGAATTTCTGAAAGGCTTTCAAATAAGTTCTGAACTTGGACCAGGATGGGACAGAGCGTCGGACTCCCACCAGTTGGCTTTTATTTATCTTGCCCTGTTGAAATGTCTTTCAGGTGCTGGAAAGAAATACAAAGTGAAGTTTGACAAGCAAGGGAAGAGTTTGCTTTCTGGCCACCACATCGCTTACGACTGTCACCCCTCTCCTGAGAAGTACTACGTCGGCAGCAGGGTTGTGGCAAAATACAAAGACGGGGATCAGGTTTGGCTGTACGCAGGCATCGTGGCTGAAACCCCGAACGTAAAGAATAAAGACAGGTACTAACTCTCCTCCACGGTCCCCTAACCCGCACTCTCTGGTTTTAGGAAAAAAAGGAAAGCAGGGGGGAAAGAAAAAACAAATAATTCTATTTGTATATTTGCTATTGTGTGAGCTAAATTCTTTTCTGCTCTTTCCAGGGATGTGGTTCTGAATGTTGGGTTTGTTTTTTTTTTTGGTCTGTCTTATCTCGGAGCGGAGCTTCCATCCCATTACTCATGTCCCCGAGTCAGAAATTAATGTCTGGTAATTCGTTCCAGTTATCGCACAAGTGTGAGTCTGTTCTGCTCAAGGCATAAAACATAAGTGTGAGGAAATAGGAGCCCTGGAAGCCTTTGGTGCCAGCAGCGTTGCCGGAGCACTTAAGGAGAAGCAAGAGCAGCTCTGGAGCAGCTTTTTTCAGTCGCATATAAACGAGGGGCAGGGCTCTGCCCTGTGGTTTAGGCTCGTGGTCTTCCTGAGGAGATTCATAAGGGATAGAATCACCCCGGGTTGGTTGGTTGTTGTTTTTTTTTTCAAATGGGGATCTGCTGTAAATGCCTAATTGTGTGGAGTTCCACCCGATACGGGTTTAATAACTGGAAACGGCCTGCATTTGTTGCTCGTATGGCACATGTGCTCCTCCTGGCGAGGCTGGCTGTAACGCTCCGTACCCTGGAGTTGTTTTCCAGCCTCGTGGGCACCCCAATTCGAGCTCCCGGTCCCCTGCAGGCGCTGGGGACTCTCACGCTCATCTCCTGGCTGCAGGTGGAGCTTCAAAAATACTTTTTCTTGCCGAGATTAGGAGCGATTCAACTGTCTTTTCTCTTTCTTCCCCTCCTGTGGCCGAGGCACGGGGGAATGGAGGCGAGGGAAGAGGGGCTGCGCTGCTGGGAGGCCCCTGGGCACCCTCCCTTGCCTTCGGGAGCAGGGGGGCGGCTCAGGCCTGGGGCAGGGCTGGTCAGAGAGCTGAGGGTGCCGCAAAGCTCGTGATCTCCTGGCAGTAGTGAACCCCTTGTTCCGTCCTCGCCCACCACGTCTGGTCTGAGGGCCTCAGGGACTGGCAGGAGGAACAGGAGGGGTGCTCCGCTTCCGCCCTACGATGCGGAGCTGCGTTTTACTCAGCTGCATTTCTAATTCCAACTCCCAACGCTGCTCTTCTCCAGGTTCCTGATCTTCTTCGATGATGGCTACGCTTCCTACGTCAAGGAGTGGGAGCTGTACCCGATCTGCAGGCCACGTGAGTGAGCTCTGCCCCTGCTGTGTCCTAACACTGAAACGCTGCGGAGAGCCTTGGGGTGTGTGACAGAGCCTGGCTCAAAAGACAGGGCCCAGACTGCGTGTCCCCTCCACGCTGTGCCTGGAGACGCTGTGTTTGCGTACGGAGCTGGAGGGGACAGCAGTTTGTCACCGGCGGAGGAGCGAGTGGGCCGTGAGTCCTTGTGCTCCGGGTGTGTTGATGTGGCTGGATGCTCCGCCGCCAAGAGCCCGGCCGCTCGGGGTTGCTGCTTCATTGTTCTTAACGCGAAAATCCATCTGAGGCCTCTTTTAAAAAAAAAACAAAACAAAAAAAATGTTCTCTTCGTAAGTCTTTCCTCTTCCCTTTCTCCCGTCTGTCCCTTTCTGAACAGCGAAAAAGACCTGGGAGGACATAGAGGATGTTTCCTGCCGCGATTTCATCGAGGAGTACATCACGGCCTACCCCAACCGCCCCATGGTGCTGCTGAAGAACGGCCAGCTGATCAAAACCGAGTGGGAAGGGACCTGGTGGAAGTCCCGGGTGGAAGAAGTGGATGGCAGCCTGGTCAAAATCCTTTTCCTGGTAGGACGATTTCCCTTCTCCCATCAGAGCGCTGACGCAGCCCTTGCTAACGCCCAGCAGGTTTTTTTTTGCTTAGTGGGTGAACTGCCGGTTTCTGCTGGGCAGGGAGGGTGAGGGGTTTTCATCTGCATGACAAAAGCTTCGGAAGCCTTTTAAAGCGTTTTGCCTGTGAAACGTGAAAGCAGGAGATAAACAAGCAGGAAAATCCAGGGCCTGTGCGTGTTCCCTCCTGGTTCCTTCCCCTGTACAAACACCTAGCGGTGTCGTCTGTCCAAAGACACGTGCTGGTTTGAGGAGCAGGAGAGGGGCCGAGCAGGAGCTGCGGTTTTCTGCCCACTCAGGTCCTAGGGATTGCAGAAAGGGAGCAGACACGCTCTCTGTGCTCCCTTCCAGCCCTGGGGCTCGTGCCCCTGCAGCTGTAACCCCCGCTCCCACCCCGTCCCAGGGCACTCGGGTTCCTGCCGAGGCCTTCGCTCGTCTCCTGGCGGGGTTGGGGGGGGGGGCTGCTCCCCCCAGCAGGGCCTCGTTAGTCCAGAACTGCCTTTGAGGTTTGGGGGTCTTGGTGCTGGGCCTCTTTCTGTGGTCCGTATCCAGCGTTCCCAGCTGCGAGGAACCGCTGCCTTCGTGCTGCCCGGGCTTGCGCCGTCTTCCAGGAGCCGTCAGGCCGAACCTTCGCCTCCTTTCCCTCCCGTTCTGCTGCCCCCAAGAGCAGCACGCCGCTGCCTCCCGGGCCCGGGGGGTGCTTCTGGCAGCTCTGGCTGTAGGCGCTGTGAGCAGCGTTGCCTTCTCCTTGCTGCAGGATGACAAACGCTGTGAGTGGATTTACCGGGGTTCCACGCGCCTCGAGCCCATGTTCAGCATGAAAACTTCCACAGCCTCCACCCAGGAAAAAAAGCAAAGTGGACAAGCCAGGACTCGTCCCAACGTCGGTACGGGACATCTTTCTCTTTGATTTGCGCCCTGCGGTTTGAGTGAACACCTCGTGCCTTGCCGGGGGCGGGTGGGCTCTTTTGTTTGGTTTTGGTGGGGTGTTTTGGGTTTGTTTTTTTTTTTTAATTTATTTTTAGCAGAACTCCTGGAGATTGGAGGTTTACAGTGGGCTTTCTCTCCTGCCGTAAAAGTGCCACAAAACCAGTGTGCAGCTGCGTGAAGCGGCCAGAATGTGCTTTGGGGGTGGCTGGTTGTGACTCGGAGCCCAGCCAGCGTCCCCGGTGTTAATTGCAGATGCCTCGCTTTGGTTGCCTTTGGGGACTAAATCCAGTATTTTGCGGCTTTAGAGACTTTCCCCGTTGACGCTTTGCCTCTTTCTCCCCTTCCTCGCTAGGCGCCGTCAGGAGCAAAGGGCCTGTGGTGCAGTACACGCAGGACCTAACGGGAGCTGGGCCCCAGTACAAGCCTCTGGAGCAGATGCAGGCGGCCTCGCTGGCCGCACGCTCCGTCTCGCCGCAGCCTGCCGAGATGGAGTAAGTACCTGAGCCAGCTCTCTGCTCCCACCTCTGCCTCTGGTCTCCGGTGCTCGGCTCTTCTGTGCAGAGGGACCCTCGAGGGCAGGTTTCCTCCACGACTAGGCTTCTTTCCTGGTTGCACAAACTGCTTTTAGTCCCGCTTCTGGGGGAGAGCGTAGATAAAAGCTGCTGGATGAATGATTGGGGGTGGGGGAGCTGACGGCCCAGCACCCCCTGAGCCAAATGCCGCGTCCTTACTCAGGGCTAAAGCTTCGCACTTGATGTATTTCCAAGTTAGAACGTTTGCTCCTTCTCTTCCGAAAATCTGAATTGCTCCCTCGTGTCACGATCCAGGCGCTGGCCCCCGGCTGCCTTGTGTCCCTCCGCTCGGACTGACCTGCTCGCAGACCTCGATGACTTACGAGGCACTGAGAACTCGGGATCACAGGGGTTGCTCTCGGTGGTCACGGACCAAACCTGGTAGAGCTAAGCCACGGCCCAGTCGCCCACCTGCCTCCTGCTGCCGGCGGCCCGAGCGGGACGTTCGCGGAGGCGCAGGCTAGTGCCGAAGGAGGCCTGGATGAAGGAGGAGCCCGGCCTTGTGATGGAGGGAGCGTGTTGGAGAGCACCAGGGTACCTGAGCGAGTGCTCTGGGACTTTTAAGTAGGGGACAGAGATGCTGTCCCCGTGCATTTTTTTTTTTTATTTTTTTTTTGTCACCGCTGTGGATTTCCCATCCGAATTTCTGGACGCCTGGCCCCCTGCCAGCACGTCGTCTGCCGTGACCATGCCCTGCAGCGCGGGCTGGAGGGAGAAGGGAGATGGCCCAGCAGTGAGGAACCTGAGCAGCGAGTCAATCTTTATTCACCAGAGGCTCTCTAGGTGTAGCAGCACCTAAGGAACCCTGCTGGCCCCCCGCTCCGGCCTGGGGAGGGGTTCCTCTCCGAGCACCCGTGCGCTATGACCCGTTCTGCTCCTGGACGTGGGGGGGAACTCGGAAATGCTCCTCCTGGGCCGCTCTGACGAGGCTCGACGCCGCACGAGCCTCGTTCCTCATCTCTTGCCCACCCAAGAGCAGAGGCCGGGGCTGGGGGCCGTCAGCCCCGCGGCGCTGGCTCCGCCGCCAGCCCAGGGCCCCGCCGGGGTAAGGGAAGGGCCGGGCTCTTCCCCCTCCGTGGGGGCACCCCGACCTCGGGGTGTAGGAAGAACGTGCGGTGGAGGCCGTGAAGTTGGACCGCAGCAGTCAGCCAGCCTGGCTGCCCGATCTCCCTTTCCCCGTTTCACAGTCCTTGCAGTGGCTACAAGGAAAAACATTTTTTTTTTCTTTTTTTGACTTTAGGATCTTGTTTTCAGATCTAACCCAGGCAGACCCTACAGCCACTTCCCTGCCCTGCCGTTAAATAGGGAACAAAGACAAATGGTTTTTAACCCGGACTGAGGGCAGCGTGCTATATCTGTGCCCCCGCTGTCCCGAGGGATCCCGTTGGGTTCGAAACACGTTGGTTTTTAGGTTATTAAAACTGGGAGAATGTCTTTTTAACTCTGGTGTTTTGTTTACTCTGAGGAAGGTCTGGTTCTCTTCCCTCTCTAGCCTCACTTTCAAGTTTTTCTACAGTGCCAGGCAGCTGCTGCCAGCCGTTTCTCACCGTTCAAAGCCCTTTGACAAGCCTTTTTCCTCTTGCTTCTGAATTTTGAAACGTGTGTTAACACCTTGCTTTTAAGGCAGATGTTTGCAGAAACGGTCGCCGCCTCCTGCTCTCCCCGTCTCCTCCCTTTCTGCCCTCATAACGCTAACTACGTTCTTCCACCTGTGGGAAAACCAGTGGCTGGTTTGGGGTGTTTTTCTGTTTAATCGGGATAAATGGATGAAAAACCTCTGCTGTTGTTTTCTCAGGGGGTGAGGGTTAGTGTCTTCCAGGTGCCTCCCACCTTCCCGCTGTTGTTCGTCGGGCTGCAGGGGTGTTTGGGAGCCCCTGGCACCCCGTTCATCAGGGGCGTTATCACATGCCTGTGTACGCCCTTATCTTGTTGCAGACAAAAATCCTCTGGATTTCTTGTTCCTCCCACTGCTCGGTGCTGTTTCGCTGACCGAGCCTCTGCAGACTCTTGTTTCTGCTGCTCCAGGGCTTTCTTCGTGTACTGGTTTGTCCGCCTCCCGAAATGGAGGCCTCGGACACCCTCGTTACACTCCCTCTCACCCTCGTGCCTCATTTCCAAATAAATAGCAGCGTGTCAGAAGTTACTTTTAAACCTAACCGAGTTCTGGCGTTTGGTCGGGGTCGCTGTAGCACAGGTAGTCAGAAATGGGCTGATTTCCACACTCGTTAGGAAAAAGGGTTCGCTCGGATGGGGCACTGGCTTTGTGGGGAGCGTCACTCTGACTGCCCCTGCCTGCCCAAATCCTGCCCGCTGGGCGAGCGTCTGCCCCTCGCAAATCTCCCCTTCTCTTCCCCCTGCAGATGCTTCGACAGTCAGCTGGCCCAATCGAGAAAGCAAGTGGCCAAGAAAAGCACGTCCTTCCGCCCCGGCTCCGTGGGCTCTGGGCAGTCGTCGCCGTCGTCGCCCGTCCTAAGCGACGCGCCGGGAAGGAGCGGCCCGTCCCAGCAGCACCGGTGAGCAAAGGCCCTCGGTGCTCCCGGCCAGTCCCCGTGTCCCCGGGAGGGTTTGGGATGCTGCTGCAGATCCAGGGCTGCTTCGGTTCGGGTTTATTTATTTGCCAGCTTGTCCAGCCCTGAGCGTTTTGTCTTCCCTCGTTCTTCCTCCCAGACAACGGTTTGTTAGTTGGGTTGAGCTTGGAGGGTCCCTTATCGGTTCTGGCCAGAACTTTCCCCACTGGGACCCTGGCCAAAACCCGCTTAATTTTAGGACTCCTCTTTCTAGGAGCTGTCTAGGGTTGGGGGAGGCTGCTCTTACTGTGAATCCGCAGGGGACTTTTCCGCAGCGGTGCCCTTGTGCTCTCCAAACGTGCCGTGGAGTCATTTCCCCAACCAGTTTGTGCTTGGTTTTGCTTCCCTGGTTCTGACTGAGGGGTGGGTTTGGTGTCCTGTGCTGCTGGTAGGAGTTTAGCACCTAAAACCCCCTCGTGGCACTCGGTGATCCCCTTCTCCTGCCCCAGGCTCTCCGGCAGCCAGGCCAGCAGCGGCCCGGCGCCGGGCTTCCACGGGATGATGGACCGCGTGCCCAACGAGCCCTCGTACCGAGCCCCTCTGGAGAAGCTCTTCTACCTTCCTCACGTCTGCAGCTACACCTGCCTGTCCCGCGTGCGCCCCATCCGCAGCGACCAGTACCGCAGCAAGAACCCCCTGCTCGTCCCGCTGCTCTACGACTTCCGGCGGATGACGGCGCGCCGGCGGGTCAACCGCAAGATGGGCTTCCACGTCCTCTACAAGACGCCGTGCGGGCTGTGCCTGCGGACCATGCCCGAGATCGAGCGCTACCTCTTCGAGACGGACTGCGACTTCCTTTTCCTGGAAATGTTCTGCCTGGATCCCTACGTGCTGGTGGATCGCAAATTCCAACCCTACAAACCTTACTACTACATCGTGGACATCACCAAGGGCAGGGAGGACGTCCCGCTGTCCTGCGTCAACGAGATCGACAGCACGCCGCCGCCGCAGGTGGCCTACAGCAAGGAGAGGATCCCCGGCAAGGGGGTGTACATCAACACCAGCTGGGAGTTCCTCGTGGGCTGCGACTGCAAAGACGGCTGCAGAGACAAGTAGGTGACCCCTCTGCCTGTCGCGGGGCCTGCAGGGTGGGGGGCAGCACCCAGGCACCTCTGGCCGGCTGCAGGCCGAGCCCCCTGTGCCTGTCCCCCGCATCTACGGGCGCAGAAAGAGGTGATTTCTCTTCCTTTCTGCAAAACTGGTGTGTAGAACTAACTGCTGGGGCCCGGCTGGGTTTTTCTGTGTCTCCCTAGATCGAAATGTGCCTGTCACCAGCTGACGGTCCAAGCGACTGGCTGCACCCCAGGTGGGCAGATCAACCCCAACTCGGGATACCAGCACAAAAGGCTGGAGGAATGTCTCCCGACGGGGTGAGTAGCGCTGTGGCCTCGCCTCGCCTCACGCATCCCAGCCTGGGAACTCGGCCTGCGGGGCCGTCAGGCAGGCAGCACCTCCCGGGGCTGAGTGCAGGCACTGAACACCTGCCCCTGTTCCTGATGCGTCTGCAAATGTGGGACCTGGTTCCTCTGGGTGATGCTGTAGTACCTGGCGACCACTCCCCCTGCTCTGCTGGGCTTTATTTAGGTCACTGCGAGTCCCGTTGCGTCACTTCGTTTTGCATCACTTCATTTTGCATCACAGGACATTTCAGAGAGGCCGGGGCTGGGCTCTGCTCCCAGGGGATCAGGGACAGGACAAGAGGGAACGGCTGGAAACTGCCCCAGGGGAGGGTCAGGCTGGGCAGGAGGAGAAAATGTTTCACCAAAGAGTGGTCGGAGAGCGGAGGGGGGGTGTCCCCATCCCTGGGGGGGTTTCAGGGCCGTTGGGATGAGCTGTGGGGGGATGCGGGGTAGGGGAGAACTTTGTAGAGTTGGGCTGAGGGTTGGACTCGCTGATCCCGAGGGGCTTTTCCAGCCTGAGTGATCCTGGGATTTCTGGTACACCACCAAGTCCGGGCACGTTGCTTTATCCAGGAGGGTCTCACTGCTCTCCTCTCTTTCAGAGTTTACGAGTGTAACAAGAGGTGCAAGTGCAACATCAACATGTGCACCAATCGCTTGGTGCAGCACGGGCTCCAGGTCCGACTGCAGTTATTCAAGACACAGAACAAAGGCTGGGGCATTCGCTGCCTCGACGATATTGCTAAAGGCTCCTTTGTCTGCATCTACGCAGGTAGGCTCTCGCCCTGCTGAGCGAGCAGGTAGAATCCTCTTAGTTTTGAAAGAAAAGCCTCCGTTGAGGCAGTGCCCTTCCCGGGGTCATGCATATGCAGATGGGAATCTGCTTTGTTTTGGGTAGGGAGGGGGGGAGTAAGTATTTGGAAAGATCTGGTTGTGTCAGGCCTGAGAGCTAGGCTTTGTTTATGGCAAAACCCAGCAGAACGGCTGTGCAGCTCTTCCCGTGCTCATTAAGGGGCCAGGAAAGCAAAAAATTTCAAGCCGACAAGCTTGCAGCACTCTGCTTCGCTGCTGGATGCCCCTCCCTTGCCCAACTCCGAAACACGAGGCCGCAAGAGACCCGCGGCGCCGGCGGCAGGAGAAGCGCCAGGGCTCGCCGCGGGGGTGAAGCGACACCGACCCGTTTCCTGCTGCCCTGGACCCACCGCCGGGCCGCGGTGAAATGCAGAAGTTGCGCAGGGCCGTTGCGTTGTCTCTGGCACGAAACGAGCCACAGGCCTTGCCGGAGCTCTGGGGCTGCTCCGGGGCTCTTGCCCTGAGCTGCGGCCTCACCCCCAGCCCCTCGGAGGAGCAGCAGCTGCCCTGGTGGAGCTGCTGCTCCGAGATTTCCTCGGCGGGAGCCTGGATGTTAGCGAGGGCCCCGTTCTAGATCAGCCCCAGGCTTCAGATTGTTGTCACCTCGAGGATGGGGGTGACACGTTGTCCTTCCCCAGCCCGGCCTCGGGACAAGGCACCGTCAGTGCTGTGTGCTCCTCTGGGGAGGGTCAGACCTGTGGGGCAGGAGTGTCGTCCCTGGAAAACTCAGACTTCGTGTTCTGTTCCCCACCGCCAGGGAAGATCCTCACAGATGACTTCGCCGACAAAGAGGGGCTGGAGATGGGCGACGAATATTTTGCAAACCTGGATCACATCGAGAGCGTGGAGAACTTCAAGGAGGGCTACGAGAGCGACGCCAAGTGCTCCTCTGACAGCAGCGGCGTGGACCTCAAGGACGAGGAGGAGGAGAACACAGGCACCGAGGAGCAGGAGGAGTCCAACGAGGACAGCTCCGATGACAACTTCTGCAAGGATGAGGACTTCAGCACCAGCTCGGTGTGGCGCAGCTATGCCACGCGTCGGCAGACCCGGGGCCAGAAGGAGAACGGGCTCTCGGAGACGGCTTCCAAGGACTCGGGCCTCACCCGGCCCATCAGCCACGACGAGGCGGCGGCGGCCTCCTGCAAGCTGCCGGTGTCCGAGGAGACCTCCAAGAACAAAGTGGCCTCGTGGCTGAGCTCCAACAGCATGGCCGACGGCTTCCAGGACAACGACAGCACCTCCTCCTTCAAGATGAGCGAAGGCGGCGAGGCCAAGGCCACCAAAATGGAGCTCCCTGGGGAGAGAGAGAAGGCCTCTGCTTCTGCCCCGGGCGACCTGGATGCAGAGTCAAAGGCATCGCTGAAGAAAGATGTAAAGGGGGGGGCTGGGGGGGCTGTGGGCCTGGGAGATGAGTCTTGTCCCCCCACCCTGGGGGCACGGAGGAGGAAACGGAGCCACGGAGCTGCACCCTCACTCTCGGGGCTTCTCTACCCATCCAGCATGGCTTGGGATGCTCTCTGGTGGCCCCTTGGTCTTTGCCTGCTGGGGGGGGGGTGTCCTTTTCCCTTCCTGGGGGAGCTGTGGCACAGGAGGCTACAAAGACATGGCTCGGCCTGAGCTGAGCTGAACAGCCCCCCTGCCCTGGGCACCGTGTGGGGGGAGCCCCCGCGTGCCCGGGGCTGTGA